AGCATGTTATAAAAAAACTTTTATAACAAAAATTGTTGCAAATTTTATTGTTAACAATATTGCACTCTTACACTTTTGCTCTTAGATACGTCAATATGGAAATAGATACGAAAATATTAAAATTTTATAAATTTGTTGCTCTTTCAAGTTATTAAAGGTAACACTTGGGAATCGAAGTTTGCTATAAGAAAACTTTTATAACAAAAAATATTGCAAATTTTATTGTTAACAGTATTGCTCTCTTGCACTTTTGCTCTTAGTGACGTCAATATCCAGGTAGATACGAAAATATGAAAATTTTATGAATTTGTTGCTCTTTCAAGTTATTAAAGGTAACACTTGGGAATCGGAGCTTGCTATAAGAAAACTTTTATAACAAAAATTGTTGCAAATTTTATTGTTAACAATATTGCTCCCTTGCACTTTTGCTCTTAGATACGTCAATATTGAGATAGATACAAAAATATGAAAATTTTATGAATTTGTTGCTCTTTCAAGTTATTAAAGGTAACACTTTGGAATCGAAGTTTGCTATAAGAAAACTTTTATAACCAAAATTGTTGCAAATTTTATTGTTAACAATATTGCCCCCTTGCACTTTTGCTCTTAGATACGTCAATATTGAGATAGATACAAAAATATGAAAATTTTATAAATTTGTTGCTCTTTCATGTTATTAAAGGTAACACTTAGGAATCGGAGCTTGCTATAAGAAAACCTTTTTAACAAAAAATGTTGCAAATTTTATTGTTAACAATATTGCCCTGTTGCACTTTTACTCTTAGATGCGTCAATATCGAGATAGATACGAAAATATGAAAATTTTATGAATTTGTTGCCCTTTCAAGTTATTAAAGGTAACACTTAGGAATCGGAGCTTGCTATAAAAAACTTTTATAACAGAAAATGTTGCAAATTTTATTGTTAATTATATTGCTCCCTTGCACTTTTGCTCTTAGATACGTCAATATGGAGATAGATACGAAAATATTAAAATTTTATAAATTTGTTGCTCTTTCAAGTTATTAAAGGTAACACTTGGGAATCGAAGCTTGCTATAAAAAAACTTTTATAGAAGATTAAATACAACTGTCAGAAAACTGGATTTTACTGATAGGAGATAAACTAGATACTGCCGACAAAAGACCACATGAAACTGACAGAAGACTTTATACTCTCAATGATGGAATACATACTGCGAACATCAGATTAAGACAGTACTTGCAGATGACTGATGATAGGAGACTATCTAGTGGATGTGGAAGAAGGAATATTGCTTGTAAAAACTTGATGCTGCTGGCAAAAGACCACATGCAGCTAATAAAAGACCAAATACAGATGGCAGGAAGCTATATACTGCTAATGAAGCACTAATACCGTCAATAGCAGGTAAGACGGTGTTTGTAGATGACTAGATACTACTGGTAGAAGACTACATACATCTGGCAGAAGACTATATGCCAATAACCTTTGTGAACATTCTGTATAGCATTGATCCCGTTGCATATTTTCAAAAGTGACCTTAAACGATTTCTTATGATAACATTGCACTGTTTGCCAAATTTAAACTTTCTAAGACAGTATTTGCAGATGACTAGATACTGCTGATAGAGGACTAAATACTACTAATAGAAAACTAGCTTTTAATGATAGGAGACTATCTAGTGGATGCGGAAGCATCCACTAGGTAGTAACGTATGCATATAACGTTGGAATACATTGACATTTTTTTTCAATACAGAAAAGTCGTCGAAACTAGTCGATAATGTTATAGCTGGCAGAAACTAGAGTTATTGCTGGAAAAATTTAAATTCTGCTGTTAAAAACCTGTCTAGTGCTTGTATAAGAACGTATATTAGTAGCAGAAATCTATACGCAACTGGCAGAAGACCAGATACGGTTGTCAAGAGACTAGATATTGCAAATAAAAGACTACATTGCTTACAGGTACCTAGATACTACCGTCAAAAGACAAGAAGATAGTGCTGACAAAACTAGATATTACTTTTTGAAGATTAGATATTAATAGCAAAGGTTATATCTTTCTTGTAGAAGATTACATATTGATGACAGACGTCTAGATACTGTATTTTATGTGCAAAATCTAGATTTGGGACATAAGTCTAAGTTTTGCAGGATCACTAAATGCTTTTTTTTTACTTCTGCACATTGAATATATTCCAAAAATGATGTCAATTTTTCTAGTGAGCGTGTCATTAGCCAAAACGAGCCTGCAAATCTTATTTTCATGCAAACTTTGCGTCGTCTACCTTTACAATCGTAAATACTACTTTACAAATGTAATATACTATTCTTTATTCTGTACAATTACATCTACCTCTTCGTTATAATGAAAAGACTCTGGGCACACTAACACGAATGTTTTCATGTGGTATAAACGTGGAATTTGTGTCTAATAGACATACTTCTCTCACCTCAAAATGAGGGATATCGTATCCTTGCAAGTAACTACAGCTTGTTTAGTCATGTTTGTAATCCCACAAAAATTAACAATGACACAAGTTACTTAAAACACTCAAACTGGTGAAATGATCAACTCAAAATAAAAACTGACAAACCGAACTGAACCTTAATGTTATATAGAGGAGGAGTGAAGGTTGAAATGATGGTTGGGTTGGTTTGCGAACTTCCTCTTGGAAACAGAAAGTCCATTTCAAGGTCAAGGTCACCTCCTTGACGACCTCCTCCTGGAGCTCAAGGTCACCCGGTGTGTCCATGACCTTGGGTTCCAGGAGGAGATTCGTTAATCGACAAATACCTACTACTGGGACTTATATTGGATTCTTATTTGGGAATTGAGCAATATGTAGGAAGAAATCATAGCTCATAGCTTTACTATTATTTGCCAATTGATAAAAAATTAGTATTATATTTCCGATAAACAAAATGTGAGGATGAACATTGAGAAATGTTGAAAACTTATTTTCATAGTCAGTCAGTTGCCAAAACATCTCGAAAATATAGATATACTTGACAAAAACTAAAATAATTGCGGGCAAAAAGTTGGATTCTGCCTGTAGAAGACCACTTGCAAATGGTAGGAGACTAGGTACTGTAATTGAAGGACTAGATACTGCCAATAGCAACTTATACCTTGCTTGGAGATGATTACTTACTGCTACCAGAAGACTACAGACTGCTAGTAGAAGACTAAATACTTCGGCCTCAACTACTCCAAAAGTCATCATACTATCTCTATCTTAGTTTAGCTAAGAACTTGATATTGCTGGAAAAAATCCACATGCAGCTGACAGAAGATTAGATACAGCTCGTAGGAGACCACACTCCTGGCAGATCACTAGATAGTGACGGCAGAACATAAGATATTGCTGACAGAACCCTAGATATTGTTGGCAGAATACTAGAATACTAGATACTGTCCATAAAGGCTAGATACTACTTGTTGAATCATTTGCAGACGATTATATACTGCAGGTAAATGTTTAAATGGTGATAACAGAGTTTAGATACTGTATTAATCTAGAAAATGTATTAAATAATACTTCGGCCTCAACTACTTCAAAAGTCATCATACTATCTCTATCNATACGTCAATATCCAGGTAGATACGAAAATATGAAAATTTTATGAATTTGTTGCTCTTTCAAGTTATTAAAGATAACACTTAGGAATCGGAGCTTGCTATAAGAAAACTTTTATAACAAAATTTGTTGCACATTTTATTGTTAACAATATTGCTCCCTTGCATGTTTGCTCTTAGATACATCAATATGGAGATAGATACGAAAATATAAAAATTGTATGAATTTGTTGCTCTTTCAAGTTATTAAAGATAACGCTTGGGAATCGGAGCATGTTATAAAAAAACTTTTATAACAAAAATTGTTGCAAATTTTATTGTTAACAATATTGCTCCCTTGCACTTTTGCTCTTAGATACGTCAATATGGAGATAGATACGAAAATATTAAAATTTTATAAATTTGTTGCTCTTTCAAGTTATTAAAGGTAACACTTGGGAATCGAAGCTTGCTATAAGAAAACTTTTATAACAAAAATTGTTGCAAATTTTATTGTTAACAATATTACTCTCTTACACTTTAGCTCTTAAATGCGTCAATATCGAGAAAAGTACGAAAATATGAAAATTTTATGAAGTCGTTGCTCTTTCAAGTTATTAAAGGTAACACTCGGGAATCGGAGCATGTTATAAAAAAACTTTTAGAACAAAAGTTGTAGCAAATTGTATTGTTAACAATATTGCCCTCTTGCATTTTTGCTCATAGATGCGTCAATATCTATTTTGAACCGTTTTCAAGTTAGGCAGGGGGTTTACTTATGACGCGTACTGTATATACCAACGATCTGGCAACGTCGCCATATCGTTGGTATATACTTTTATGCAATATAAGTGGGGTATTCGCATTAGGTACAATTTTTATCGCAATTGTATTGATTTTAAGTACGATGTGTTTAATTATTAACTCGTATATCGGTAGATCTACCGATAAATCGGTAGGGTTGGCAACGCTGTGAGTTGGCGTGGCATTTTTCTCTATTTGTTTATGCACAAACATTATAAATTAAGGTGAAGATCCGAAAAATCCTTTATAGTTTAACGACAGTTTATTTAATAAAATATCGAATGCCGCGAATTCTTTACCGGGTTAAGGAACGCTTTATTTTTTGCGCTGAATCCCTAAATGCTCCTCTACGTATTTTTTTCTTTTATTAGAAAATGCCATGAATCTTATTGTTAGTAGGAAAGTTCTTTGAACGTTTTAGCTTAATTCCTACAGCGTTTATAAACAGGATGGAGCAAAATTAGGTTAAATCGTTTTTCTTTTTCGTTCTAAATTCCCGGAAAATAAAACAATTTAACCCCTGGATAGAACTCCTCCTTGTTTACTTCCCATTACTCCATTCCTTTGTGAGTGTGATGAGTATTATTGTCCCCTTTGTTTAAAACACAACAAAAATAAAAAAAATCGTTTAATTTATTTTTCTTTTTTTTTTTAGGCAACATTAGCAATTTTAGACAAATTAGATTTAGACTCAGAAAAACCAACGGACGAAGAAGTCGCGAGAATGTTCGGATACGAAGAAGCTTACCACGCCGGGACTTTAACCAGGTGGCAAAAATTAAAACCGAAAATTTGGGCGATTTTCGATGAGCCCTATTCATCGTCCTTCGCAAAGGTACCACCGCACGACGTCAAGCTGAGAAATGTGATTTGCTTTTTTTTACTAACTCTTAATAATACTTAATGAATAAATTAAAATGCATGCTGTTGCGGTTAATAAGGGTGTGATGGTAATAATTAAATTAGCCACGTTCCCAAGCATCCTCAGCACAAGTGAAACTAATTTGTAACTTTGTTATCGAGTAACACCTTAATGAGTTAATTCACTGGAAAATTTTAAGATGTAAAGTGACACTTTATTAAAGTTATTTGATTATATAATGCACTTCCGTTCGTTATGAGCACTTAGATGTTATTAAACACGGATTGAATACAACATGGTAGTTATTAAAATGTTAATTAAAGTTTACTCCATTAATTTGAAATTGATTTTGGAAACTGTTTTATCCTAATTAAATTATTGTTCAAAATTAATTTCCTTAAAAGGAAGAGTTTTCCTTTTATTTGGTGAAAATTTCACATTTCTATCTTGCTTTGTTGCTCTTCTGTAATAAAATAGAATGGGTGAAACTGAATGTTAGGAGCATCAGATGTTAGGCAAGATTAAGGATAGAATGAAATAATGTTGGAGTTGGAGGAGATGAAATCTGCCGGGTTAGGCTGATTCATTATGGCTAGATATTTATGGAGGAAGTGTTGAAGAGTAGATATAGCTGACAAAAGACTAGATACTGCTTACAAACAACTGGGTTCTGCAGATAGAAGACTATATAGTGGCTGTGGAAGAATGAAAACTGTTTCCAGAAAACTTGACGATGTTAGCAGAAGAGCAGACAATGTTGGCAGAAAATTATATGCTGTTTGCAGAAGATTATATACTACTGGCAAAAGACTTCTTCTTCTCCAAAGATGTCATCTGTTATATATATAATCTCATCCATCAGAAGGTTGAAGAGAAAGTTACAACTATGGATTAATTTTATGATTTAAGATGGTATTTGTTTCTTTTTCAAGTTATTAAAGGTAACATTTGGAAATCGGAGCATGCTATAAGAAAACTTTTATAACAAAAATTGTTGCAAATTTTATTGTTAACAATATTGCTCCCTGGCACTTTTGCTCCTAGATACGTCAATATCGAGATAGATACAAAAATATGAAAATTTTATGAATTTGTTGCTCTTTCATGTTATCAAAGGTAACACTTAGGAATCGGAGCTTGCTATAAGAAAAATTTTATAACAAAAATTGTTGCAAATTTTATTGTTAACAATATTGCTCTCTTGCACTTTTGCTCGTAGATGCGTCAATATCGAGATAGATGCGAAAATATGAAAATTTTATGAATTTGTTGCTCTTTCAAGTTATTAAAGGTAACACTT